AGAGGGAGAGAGGGAGAGAGGGAGAGAGAGGAGAGAGAGGGAGAGAGGGAGAGACGGAGAGAGAGAGGGAGAGAGAGGGAGCGCAAATTCCTATTGGAGGCACAAATGGAGGTCGGAAAATTGGTCGTGGAGAAGGTCTTGGGGAAGTCAACCCTAACCCGCTGCTTCTCCAAATACCCATTGAAATTCATCAGCCCCAATAAGGTCCTCAACCTTCCATTCCCTCTTGATTATCATTATTGCTCCATTTTTTCCTGAATTTCACAGCTCAAAGGCCCTTTTCCTCGTGTTAATTTCCAGGTGGGCCCTTCCCAAATTACCGACGCAGTGTGGATTTACACCATCACCTATGGCGGAGGCATCGTCTCTGTATGTTTTTTGCCCCTTTCACTTGCATTTGATTAATTTCTTCTTGGAGCTGTAAATGCAGTAAAATTTATGCATTAATGAGTGTGTGAAAAAAAAAAACGCAGGGGGACTCCATCGCTTTTGAAGTTGCTGTGGGGGATGGCTGTACTGCTGTTTTGACCACTCAATCTTCGACAAAGGTTCGATCTTTTTTTCGTGTTTTTTTCGATATTGTTATGTGTGTAGGTTGAGAACTTCAGATATTGCTGTTCTAATGCCGGGTTCGTTTATTTTTTGTGTCTGATGAAGTCTTTGTATGGGAAAAAACTGTGTAGGTTTACAAGTCTGTTGGGTCGAAATGTAGCCAACAAAAGTTGGAGGTAATCGACTAATCGTGCTCTCTTCAATTTTCGATTCCTTGTGCAGAATAAATCGTCCTTTCGATTGTCCTTAGTTGATATTTTGCTCGATCATTGATATGGAGCCGTATGATTGTAGAATCGATTGTCTGCGTCTAACTTTCCTTAAACGAAGTCTTGTATCTTTTATAGCTAACTTGAAGACTTGTGATTGGAGGATATGTCATATGTGTGTGAGGATGTGTATTTTTTTCATTTTCATAATTTTGTTTCCTCTGCAGAGTTTGTGATGATAAATTTTCAGTGGGAGGAATGAAAATTTTTTAGAATGTGAATATATATGAGATGAAAAGGTAAATATTAAAGTTGGCTGTGTAATTTGAAAGTAGTAATATATAGTGATTGTTAATCAGGATATGTCAAGTGGATGAATTGTGAATCATATGCAGGTTAGCAATGAAGAATGTTTTTTTATTTCAAATGTTATAGTGATAAGATTAACAAGGGAGACACGAGACGAGAGGGGATGATATATTTTCTGAAAATTGTTCGTGGGAAAAAAAAAGTAATCTGGAGTTGTGGGATTAAAATCAAATTTTTTGATACGTGCAATATTTTTGTACTTTGACACGTCTCATTTTTCATGTGATCTTTAAAAGAATTATTTTTTAGTGGTGGCTGATCTAATCTATGCAAAATCAGTAGGCTAGCATCGGATGCGACTCACTTCTAGTCCTCATTCCAGATCCCGTAACGTGCTTTTCCACTGCAAGATATTCACAAGCACAAATCTTCAAACTTGTGCCTGATTCGAACTTGCTTTTTGTGGACTGGATAACCAGTGGCCGCCATGAATCAGGCGAGAAATGGGCCTTTTCTCATTACAAGAGCAGTAACAGCATTCTTTTACCGGGCAACGAACCTGTATTTCTTGACACGGTATATCCGCTCAAAATGAGTTTTTTTTTTTTTTT